AGACCCCCTCCCACTATAATCAATATGGATCACTGATCCCCCTCAGACCTCCCCCCCGCAGTAATCGATATGGATCACTGATCCCCCTCAGACACCCCCCTCAATAATCAATATGGATCACCGATCCCCCTCAGACCCCTCCTGCTATTATCGATATCGATAATCCCCCCCCATCCCTGAAGGGCACCAGGGTGTATTCTAGACTTGCCTCATGCGGGCCATGAGCCAGCAGCCCCCAGCCCCCAGCCCCATCCTGTTCAAACCAGCATCAGTGTTGCTGAGTGAGCTAATGGGGTCTGGCGGGTTGGGGGTGGCGAGGGGGTGGGGGGGTTGATAACCCACGTACCCGGGTCGGCAGGAGGGCACGGGTTGGCATCACGTGGACTCACTGTGAGATGGTGTTGGTGTCCAGATCGACGCAGAGCACATCGTGCGGCAGGTCGTAGAGCTCGAAGTAGCTGGAGTGCACTCCCACGATGAAGGGGACGGGCGCACTCAGCACGTCTGCCAAGTTCAGCGGGCACAAGGGAATGTACGGGCACTGCCAACGGAACGGAAAGATCATCTGGAGATGGGAAACGGGTGGAAGGGGTGAGGGGGTAGAGAGATATATATGGAGAGAGAGAGAACACATTAATGACCATGAAGGTGGAGGACAGCAGATGAAATAAGTGCACGTTTCAAAAGCCTCTTAATTCAGGGAAGATCATGGAATGTGCAGCCCTTCTCTGTCAGGAGGTGGAATATAAAAAGGGAGGATTTTTGTGACAGTGATACAAAGGCCAATCCCACATACAGCTCTAGAATGGTCAAAGGAATTACAGCAGAGATTCACCAGCATCCTCTTGGAGCTCCAGGGATTAATTCACAAGTTTCATATCAATTAATGTGGACGGATGTGGCACGGATTGGTTGAGATTTTTTGTGACCTGATAGAAGTTTACAAAATAATGAGGAGTATGGATAGAGTAAATAGTAGTTGTCTTTTCCCTAGGACGGGGAACTTCAAAACTAAGGGGCACATTTTAAAGTGAGAGGTGAGAGATTTAAAAAAGATACAAGGGGCAACATTTTCTACACAGAAAGTGGTTCGCTTGTGCAATGACCTTCCTGAGGCAGTGGTGGATGCAGGTACAATTATAACGTTTAGAAGATATTTAGATAAGTACAAGAATAAGAAAGGTTTGGAGGGATATGGGCCAGGAGCAGGCAGGTGAGAGTAGTTTAGTTTGGAATGATGGACTAGTTGGACTGAATGGTCTGTTTCCGTGCTGTATGACTATGAGTGGGAACGTTTAGTCAATAGGGAGAACCTTCTAACATTGGCAGTGATGTCTAGGTCAAGGGGTCAGCACTTTAAAATCAGGAGCGGTTCATTCAGTACAGAGACATTTCACCACAGAAGGGGAGGAGCACTCTCCCACATAGAGAGGTGGCTGCGAGAGAGCATCAGGAATCATAATGTTTCATAGAGTCATACGGCCCTGAAACAGACCCTTCGGCCCGACTTGTCCATGCTGACCAGATATCTTAATTTAATCTAGTCCCATTTGCCCATATCCCTCCAAATCCTTCCTATCCATGTACCCATCCAGATGCCTTTTAAATGTTGTAATTGTACCAGCCTCCACCACTTCCTCTGGCAGCTCGTTCCGTGTCAATGGATTTTGAACACAAACCAGCCATAATCTCACAGAGACAGAACAGACTGAAAGGGCTGTCCTGCTCCTGCATTCCTGGGGTGCAACTCCCTGGTGTTGGGAAGAGTGGTCTTGCTGCAGTCCTACAGGGCCTTGAGGAGACTACATCTGGAGTAGTGTGTGTGGGGTTTTGATCTCATTATTTGAGGAAGGATGTTCTGGTGATGGAAGGAAGGCAGCAAAAGTTTACCAGACTGATTCCTGGGATGGCAGGACTGACATACGGAGACAGACTGGATCAATTAGGACCACATTGACCGTGCTTTTGTGCACCTCCTTTGCAGCCGTAACCTGTGTGTATGCCTCGCTCTGTCTAAGCACCCTAGGTCCTTGTTTGCTATGATCTGCCTCGACTGCACGCGAAACAAAACTTTTCACTGTAATTAGGTACGTGTGCCAACAATAAATCAAATGAAATATTTTCAGTGGAGTTTAGAAGAACGAGGGCTGGATCCCAGAGAAACCGATAAAACTCTAACAGGACGATACAGGTTGGTGCAGGAAGGATGTTCCCAATGATCAGGCTGTCCAGGACCAGGGCTGACAGGTTGAGGATAATGGGTCAACCTTATAGGACTGACAGGAAGAGAAGTTTCTTTACCCTGAGAGTGGTGGAGCCTGCGGAACTCACTAGGACACAGAGTGGATGAGACCAAAACATTGTGTTTTTAAGAAGGGGGTAGATTTAGAATCATAGAATCCCTACAGTGTGGACACAGGCCCTTCGGCCCAACAAGTCCACACCGAACCTCAGACCATCCCAACCAGACCCATTCCCCTGTACCCCACCTAATCTACACATCCCTGAACACTACGGGTCAATTTAGCACGGCCAATCCACCCTAACCTGCACAGCCCTGGGCACTATGGGACAATTTAGCACGGCCAATCCACCCTAACCTGCACATCTTTGGGCACTATGAGCAATTTAGCACGACCAATCCACCCTAACTGCACATCTCTGGGCACTACGGGACAATTTAGCACGGCCAATCCACCCTAACCTGCACATCCCTGGGCACTACGGGACAATTTAGCACGGCCAATCCACCCTAACCTGCACATCCCTGGGCACTACGGGACAATTTAGCACGGCCAATCCACCCTAACCTGCACATCTTTGGACTGTGAGAGGAAACCAGAGCACCCGGAGGAAACCCACACAGACACAGGGAGAATGTGCAAACTCCGCACATTACAGTCACCCGAGGGTGGAATCGAACCCAGGCTGCCGGCGCTGTGAGGCAGCACTGCTAACCACTGAGCCACCGTGCCGCCCCTTCTGCACGCAAACAAAACTTTTCACTGTACTTAGGTAAACGTGACAACAACAAATCAAATGAAATGTTTTCAGTGGAGCTTAGAAGAACGAGGGATGGATCCCAGCTCTTCTGGCTAAAGGGTTCAAGATGTATGGGTGGAAAGTGGATGAAGGGACTGGATTTGATGATCAACTGTGACCATGCTGAAAAGTAGAGCAGGCTTGAGAGGTTGAATGGCCTACTCCTGCTCCTGTGATTCAGTGTCAAACTTTCTCTGTACCCTCCGAGTTCCCTATCTTGGGGCAGATGGGAGTTAATCGAGGTGATATGCTGAATGGTTGTTGCTGCTGCAGCCGGTTACTGGTAGACTGCAGGCTGACTGAGCTCACCAGCATCCCTCTGCTCAGAGCTGACCGTCCCCTGTGACAAACCTGACAGAGTGATAGAACTCACCGAGACCAGGGCCTCACACACACTGGTCAGCACAGCAGGTCGCAGCGAGTGAATCAGCAGCTTGTGCTCAATCAGGACGGTGAGCAGCAGTGTGACGGTGTTCTCAGCACCCAGGTTCTGCAGCAGAGTGAAGTAACTGGCTCCACTGAAACACAGTAAAGAACAGGGCATCGTTTAACAAAGTAGCAGAATACTGGTGAGGTGAGAAACAGGACCGGGGACAGGGAGGAACACAAAGACTGAGAGAGACTGGAGTGTTACAGACACTGGGAATGTGTTCACAGCAGCATTACCTACCTCAGTAAGAGTGGCGAGGTTACAGGCTGACAAATCAGTAAGTTATCATACGGAGAAAGCTGAAACACACACACACAGGACACAGTCAGAATCCCCAAAATCCACCGACCTGTCAGCTTTAACCCCAGTGTGAACTCTGACCCCACTGACCCGTCAGCATTAACCCATGTGAACTCTGACCCCACTGACCCGTCAGCATTAACCCCAGTGTGAACTCTGACCCCACTGACC